GGAGCCACAGAGGGTGGGCGGGGGACTGCAGAGGGATGCAGGGGCAGCAAGGAGCTGAGAGGCTTGCTGGAGAGGTAGCAGGGCCCTGGTAGTCATGGGGAGACATGGGGGAGGACTCGTGCAGGGTGGGGGGCTCCCACGGCTGTATCCATCACTGACCCCACAATCCATAACTGAGAGGGCAGGGCAGGTGCTGGGTGCTACCCACATCCTCACTAACTAGTGACTGCCAGGAAGCAGGGCGTCCCAGCCAGACTGCATAGGGAGGGGGCCAGGGAGGATGGGGAGGCAGGACACCACCCTCCAAATGAGCCTTCTTTCTAATCATCTGTCCTGCAGGGGTGTCTGCCTCCACCCTGTCCATTTTCCAACTGTCTCCTATGTCAGCAATGGTTTCCAGGTCCCCTGATCGTGGAGCTTTTGGGCATGGTGTGTTTGTTCTAGGGTCCTGGTTCTTCCCCCAAGTGTCTCTTGGGTGAGGACATTTCCAGGCCTTGAAATTCATTCACTACCATTGCCTCCAATGATTTATTATGACAGTTTCTAGGACCCCACATGAATCATAGGATTTTGGGGTGTGTGGTTTCTAGGTCTCCCTTCTCATTCTTCATGGGTTTCATTTGTATATAGTGGTGTCTGGATCCCCAGCCCCATTTTCCATGGTTTTCCTATGCATGTGACAGTTTCTAGGCTTCTCTTCTCTTGCATCACGGGTCCCCGATGTATGTGATGTTGTCTGGGACTTTGTGCAAATTACAGATCTTTTGGGTATAGTGGAGTCTAGATTTCCTGACCTCATAAACCACGTCAAATACGTATATATGGTTTTGAGGTGACCCTTCCCATGTGTTGTGGGTTTCCTAGGTGTATGGTGGTGTCTAGGTTCCTTGTCCCTTTTACCACAGGGCTCCCATGATCCTCCCCATTTCCAGGCCTCCCTTCCTAGGCTTCATGGCTGTCCTAAGGTCTCCTGTCCTGTTCTTCTGTGTTGATACTGTCCTCATGCCTCCCTTTCTTTCTTTTTTTTTTTTTAAGACAGAGTCTCACTCATTCTGTTGCCTGGGCTAGAGTGCCGTGGCATCAACCTAGCTCACAGCAACCTCAAACCCCTGGGCTCAAGCAATCCTGCCTCAGCCTCCCGAGTAGCTGGGACTACACTACAGGCACACACCGCCATGCCCGGCTAATTTATATATATTTTTAGTT